AATTTAATGCCCAAGAAAGAAATAGCAAGATGTCAGAAGCCAAAAAGAAAGGGATAACAGTACCATGCATTAAAGTGGCAAAAATATGAGAGAATGATTACCACCAAAAATTAGAAGAATTAACCATTGAAGTCCTTGAGGAACTTTGTCTTTTCACGACTAAAGGAGAGACAGATTGAAAGGATCAGTGTGTCCGATTCCAGATGTTCAATCAAAAGGTGCAAAAGTCTCATCTTGCATGGCGAAGATCCATTCATCATCTACAAGAGCAACATACACATTTTTAGGTTCAATCATATAAACATAATATATGATAATTACCTCTTTGTATACGTGTCTTCTGCTCTTCATTTTGTCATACATATTTCCAAAGAAATATTCTTGTGAACATGTTGTGCTATAGGTCTACAACTGACAGGATTGACAATGGCATTGCAATCCTTAGATTCAGTTTATCTTGTGTCTTTCTCAGTAATTCTGATATTCACACGAAGCTCAAGATGCAACATGAAGCAAAGCCTAGCTGCACAATTAAACAAGAAGCATAAAACGACACTATGTTTGAAAACAAAAGAAATTTATGTTTTATTATTTTTAAGGACTTAAACAAAAACTAAAAGCTACCACTGAAAAAATAAAAATAAACATGATCATATCATCTTGTGTACTTGAACAATAATTCTCCCCCTAAATATATACCAATAATGAACACAAGAATAGCACTCAGTAAAAAAGAGATGAAAAATAAGAGGCATATATGTATGGAAGTAATAAGTCCCAGCAACAAGCATCAATCTAACAGATGGAAAGTGAGCAATATGAATAAATGTTTCATCATACTCCAGCCCTTCAACTTGAGAGTATTCTTGATTCCAATCTTCAAATTCAGTTTCTAAAGCTTTCTTCTCTTCCAAAATAGAGTATAGGGAGATACGATGTGAATACTGTAATGAGCAACATGAAGAAAAATCTAGCTACACAAGGAAACAAGAAGCATAAAACGATACCATATGGGAAAAAAAAAA